TGCTAACTCGCTTAGCAAGGATTTTGGAACAAATCTTGTAAACCGTGTTGCAACACGCAATTGGCCGAAAGTCCGTGACTTGTGAGGAGTGGGAGGACTTCGAAACAAGCGTGAGGGCGGTATGGTTCCATTGCTTGAGGAGTGAGCTGGAACGGAAGAACGCTTGGATGGCCGCCACCACATCACCCCCAACAATGGACCAACTCTTCAAAAAGAAAGTGGAGGTATAGCCATCCGGACCCGGAGACTTATCCCCCTCGATGTCACTAAGTGTGTTTTTTATCTCTTCCACGGTGACCGGGGTTATGAGAGCACTACAATCATCAACTCCAACACACGGTCCCAATCGAAGGATTTGTGGATCAACATTCTCCGTTTCAACTCCGGTACCCAAGAGAGCCTCGTAGTAGCAGACAAACTCTTTAGCAACTTCCTCCATGGAGTCGGTGACGGTGCCGTCTTCCCAGTTAATCGAGACAATGAAATTTCTTTTTGTTCGCTTTTTGACCAAGCCATGATAGAACTTGGTGCATTTGTCACCCTTGATTTGAAAGTTGCATTTAGCCTTTTGTTGATAGAATTGCCTCTCCGATTTGGCCAATTTGAGAGCTTCGAGTCTAAGCAAAGGCATTTTGGCCTTAGTGTCGGGGTCATCGGGTTGATCATGGAGCTTTTGTTGAGCATTCTTGAGAGCATTCTTTGCTTCTTTAGCCCGAGAGGAGATATGTGAGAATGCCTCCTCATTAAGAGCCTTAAGCGAGTTCTTGAGGTACTTCAAATTGTTAGCAAGGCGGAATTGCCTCGAGCCCCCACCGCCATGGTTCCATGTGTTTTGGACACAAGGCAAAAACTTTTCATGGGCCGTCCACATATTAAAGAACCACCACGGTGACCCGGTAGTGGTCCTCGCCTCAAATATAGTAACTATGCAAGGGGAGTGGTCCGAAATACCCAGAGCTAGAAAGGTCGCATGCGAGAAAAAGTCGGCATTCTCCCATTGGGTGTCTACCATTGCCCTATCAAGTTTCGACCAAACATGGTTTTCGGTCCAAGTGTGGAAGAAGCTACTTGAGGAGATGTCTGACAATCCCAAGTCGTCACAAACTTCCAAGAGGTCCATGGTGTCTCGGTTAATGACCCTCTCTCCCTTAATTCTCTCTTCCGGTTTGAGTATAGCATTAAAGTCCCCGAGGAGTAGCCAAGGTAAGAGTATCCTTCCCCGAAAGACCCTAAGGTCGTCCCACAACAATTTCCGGTCTTCTCTCGTATCGAGTCCATATATAAAGCTAGCTATGAACGAGTGGTTGCTAACCTTACACCGGATGTTTGCAAAAATGACTTGAGGCAAGGCGGCCTCCATCGTGATGTCAACCTTCATGGGGTTCCATAGGATGGCAATGCGCCCACGGTCAACAACGTCAAAATTCTCGCAAAAAGCCCAACCCGGCAACCTTCTATCCATAAAGAGAGATAGCCGCCTAGTGTCGATTTTCGTTTCCAAAAGTCCTAGGACATCAATGTTATTTCTCCGGATGAGGTTTACCACCTCATCTTGTTCTAGGGGCCCATTAAAGCCCCTAATGTTCCAAGAGGCAATAATCATTAGGAAGAGAAGGGTGACCCCCCTTCTTCACCGGGTTTCCTCTTCCCCCGTCTTTTCTCCCGCTTGGTTGATCTCTAAGCTTGGAGTGTTGACCCGAAGTTGCGGCGGCTTGACTCGCGGCTCCACTTCTAGTGAGAATTTTGTTATACTTACCTACCACTTGGAAGGAGTCATCATCATTGTCCGGAGGGGTCTTAAGGATTTGGTGTTCCGAGTCCCCGGATGGAAAGGAGGATGAGTCGGCATCCATAGTGGCCTCCATCTCTTTGTTCTTTTCACAATCCCCATTTCCCTCTAATTCATCAACTTTCTTTTGTTGTTTCTCCACCACCCACATTTTCTTAGGCTCATGGTTCTCTACTTGCTTTTTATTGATGTCCGCCCCCTTCTTACTTTGGTGCTCTTTTTGTTTTGTTTGGTGTTCGACCGGTTTCTTAGTGGTCCCCATGGTCCCGTCTTGTCCGGCCGGTTTCTTGCCTTTGGCCTTTTCCTCGAGGTGGGCTTTGTATTTCCCACAATTGGAGGTAGAGTGTCCAATAAATTTCCAATGATTGCAATAGTGCGGGACATACTCATATTCTACCTTTTGCTCGAACATAAGTTTCCCCTTGGATTTGAGGGGAATGCTATGTACTCTTTCCTTGGAGAGGTCTAGCTCCACCAAATTCCGAGCATAGTTGCATCGGTCTCTTGTAGCCGTGAGTTTGTCGGTAGTGATGGGCCTACCGACGGAAGAGGCTATCTTGCTTAGGGCCTTGGTGCTCCAACATTCCCATGAGAGGAAGGGGAGATTGATCCAAACGGGGACGATTTTGATGTCATCTTCACCAAATTGGAACCAATTGGGGAGAACTTTGAGGATGAGCCCTCGACCGTAGATAGAGTAGGGGCCCCCCTTTGAGTACCTTTTCTCTATCTTCTTCGCTTTTGAACTTGAAGACGATCCATCCATTGACATTAGGAATGTACTCATATTGGACTTCCCATGAGTTGCAAAGATTCAACAATGCTTCCTTGCCCGGGTGCCTATGGGTGAAGTATCCGACAAGGCAAAATCCCCAAGTACTCGTCACATCCAATAGGTCGTCATCATCAAGGTCGACTCCATTGTCCGGTGGAATGTAGTTTAATTTGAGGCCAAGCGAAGGCTTGCGGTTATCGGAGAAGAGAGCCGAGAATGACCTCTTCTTCAATGAGTCCGGGTTATTTTGTGACTTTTTACCAACCACATTGTGGGCGGGTTTCAAAGGTTGGTTTGTTGCTTGATTTTGTTTCTCCATTTGGTCAAACTGTTCCTCTGCAGCTATAGTCCCATTAACTTCAACATTTGCAGCTAAGTTCACATTATTAACAACATTAGAATCTTTATCTTCATTAGCTAGTTTATAATTGCCGTCCATTTCTGTTTCGGCCATACTGGCCTGTTCGTCCCCCGAGTCCCCTTGGGAGGTGTCGTCTTGTTCAGTGAAGTGGCCGGAACAGTCCTCCTCCGTCAACTTTCGGTACCGGATCTTCTTCTTCCTGGACTTGGTCATGTTGCCGCAAAAGAGAGTTGCAGAATTACTGTAGAAGTAGCAGCTGGTTTGGCCGCAGTCAAGAACTTGAAGCACCGAATTTTTGAAGTGTAAGCATTAAATACCTCAATTATTTCAACCCCAAAATCCCAACACACTCCACCAATGAGAAGCAGGTGTCGGAAATAATTCAAGAACTCCAAGCACACTCACAATAATTGTTACAGAATTGACTGAAATAAATCTCCACCAATTCGGTACTAGAAGAGAAGATACGAAATTGATAAAGCTAATGGAATTTTCAAGGAAAGATTAAGCTCAATTGTGCCAAGGCGCCATGGTAGAAAAATCGCCCATGGGAGGAATTTTTCACTCGCTCTAACCTTGCTGCTGGGTCCGACAGCTAATTTTGTTTTGTGTTAAAATTTCTACTTTTAATACATTTGACACAGTTAGGTATGTATTGTACTTTTGTTTGATTAATTGAAAATAATAATGTAAAACTAATTGAATAGACCATAAAATATAAAGATAAACTATAATTTAAAATCACAATAAAGTACAAATTATGTATCACGTGTACTTTCCTAGTAATTAAAAATGTCATGGCCTTAGAGATGTCTTAATAAAAGACCGTACATGCAAATTACAGAAACGTACATAAACCATAATTGTGAACAGAAGTACCTTACACTAGTAATTCTATAAGAGTTTATTCCTCATCGAAGATCCCAAGAAATTATCTAAGAATTTTATACCGTTTGAAGATCCCAAGAAAGTAGGTATTAGAAATCACATCAACAAGGAGCGGGAATTGCAGCAACACGAATGACGTTACTGGCAAACAAGCAAGAGCACCCACCGGTATGAGTATCCAACCCTTTTCTCGACCTGTTATTGTGTATATTTGTGAATTTACTATATTAGCCTTAGGTTCTCTTTAGGTAACTGTAGCCCTAATTTTGTGTATATATTGATGGTTAATAGAGAGTTGTATCATCCGACTGAGATGAATATTTTCCCAAATTCGTCTTGTCTCTTTCGTATCACGACCGAAAACTAAATAAAGTGTCGCGCTAAAGGCCACCATCATGAACAATATGGACACGAAGAGGGAAAAGAGCCCGATGCACAGCCTCTTGGGTAGAGCATACAAGAAATCTATTTCCGCATAGCGTGAAGTCAAGATTGACAAGAACATCAGTAGTGAAGTTGTCGACGTGAAGAGGGAGACGGCATCCGAGACCGCGAATACTACGAAAGCTCTTTTCTGGGAGAAGACTGGATAACCTTTGCTCGACTCATTGCCTCCAGGCACAGTGATGGCGGCCGTGAACACAACTGTGGCTATTAGTGCGGCAGCGATGGTGCACGAGCTTGCCGTGTCTTTCATCCACTTTTCACCCTCGACTTTTAGTTGTTGGTGGGCTTTTGTGAATACAATCTCAGCAGTTTCCTCGAAGTAGTTGGTCCGTAGTCTTAAAGAATCATTATAGCTGTACATTTCCTTCTCTACTTCCTGTTGATAATTATAGGATGTAAAATGTAAGTCGTTGGTCCGTACTCTTGAATATAGCATCAGAGTTTCCTGCTAGTAATTATATGATGTTTAAAATTAAGGGTAATTTGTTTACTAGTTAAAATGGTACAACTTATTTTTTACAATGATTAATTAAAAAGTTTATCTAAAAATCAGTATTACCTATTATTTTACTTACATTACCTATATTAATCAAATACCTACCAAGTTAAGATAGAAAATGACAAAATTATATACTATTCACATAAGATCTCACTGAATGCAATTGATCAATATATAGTAGTCCCATAGCTTTTAAAACTCATCAAATTAAATAAGGACAATTTTATTTGGAATTTCACTTGTATAGCTTGGAATAACACGTCACGCCCCACGTGTTATGTTAGCTGACACATAATATTTACTTGACTTTTTATGATATTTCAAAAGTAGTCTCATAACCATATAGACATTTCAAAAGCATTTAAATGGGTCGAATTAATCAATACTAGCTTAATCACTTTGAAAATATATCAACTTAACGGCACTTCTGTTCAGAAATTCAATTTCGACCAGAAAGGAATGAATTAGATAGACAATGAAGGGAGACAAAAATATATATCAACTAGAAGGATGTTGGAAGACAATTATCTATCATATAATTAACCAGTGTTTGGTCAGGTACTCGTGATTAATTTAATATTGAATAGGGGAAAATGAATGAAACTTCAGTATTCTAGGTATTTTAAATAGAAAAATGAACAATGGTGCATAAATATATTTTCCATAATTTTTGAAATGATTGAAAACTCTTTTAATTCTTTATTATATTTTATATTCTTATTTTTCCTATTTCAAAATAAAAAATTACTTCATAATGCAAACTGTATATAAGCTCACATAATAAACATTAGAAGAGAAGTGGATCAAGTACCTGAAACCACTGTAACTCGCGTTGCATCTGCAGAGCAGCACCGGAAACAAGATTCAGCTTGTGTGGTGGCGCCAACCTTGCGACCAAGTGTAGTGGAAAGTCTCCATTAGCGCAATACTCCAACTTATCCCACATAAGTACTTTATCGCCCATCGTCAGTTCAATCTCTTTGAAATATATTTCACTGCGGTTCTCGATTGCCGTGAGCATGGCGTCCACATAGATTCCATAGCTCTCCTCGTCTTCTAACTTATGCAGTTGGCCCATGATCTCCCTAGCGAAACTCAAATGGTATGGTGCATGGAAAGTGCGACCTTTGCTGCTACAACGGTTTGAAAAATTGTAAGCAAAATTTTTAAAAATTTTCTATTACACACATTTAATTGACTTGTTCAGCAAATTTAAAAATGATAACAAAATATTTATCTGCCTGTGTACTTGTTTTGTATCAATTTTTATGATAAATAAAAAAATAAATAAGCTAAAATATACGAGATATTAACTTTTAAGAAGCTCAATTAATTTAGCTAGACTCTGAAGCAATTGGATTTGGAATAGTGCTTGGGCCAACTGAAAGGTGGATGTTATGTATTAATGGCAGTTCTGGACTACTTCAGATTACTCTTAAAAATAGATAAGATGGCGTAGTTAGTCAAAGGCAAATGGAACTTTCATTATCTCACCACCTCAATTCAGCTTACAGTATCGTGAGCCGAATTAAAAGCATTTTCAATTTTAAATCCAAGTAGCCTCTTCAATTAAACTCCTCTTCCAACTACTGCTTTATCAATTTCAAGAAACCTCACTTGTAAACTAAATACCAACAGTGTTATTAGAACCCAGTTGGACCAGTAGTTGGGTGAAACTATTTTCATATATCCTGTCTAAATACATTTCTAAATCTTTTCAATGGTTACTTCCTAAAATAGCCATCAAGTACCAATTACCATTTTCTCGAGCGAACATTATAGTTATTGATTCATTAAAATGAGGACATACTTCATGTCCCAAGGCCTAAGGAATATTACTGAGAACATATATCCTATCATCGATGACATATCCACTTGTCTATTACGGACAAAGAAAATTCGACCAGGAGATTAAAAAAACAGTTTGGCACTCTTCACACTACAAATGGCTATAACGGAGTCCCTGTTTCCAAGAATTGACAGAGAACAAAGATCAAACGAGGCTTGGGAATTGGGATACTCTAAATCAAGAATATCAAGGCAGTGACAAAGTATGTCATCTAAAGTTACAAACTCTAAGGAAATATTTCGAAAATAAGAAGATGAAAGAATTTGAGACCGTAAAAGATTATTGCACTCTATTAAAAGAAGTAGTAAATCAACTAAAAGCTTATGAAGAAAATATCACTGACAAAAGGGTTGTACAAAAAATTCTAATTGGTCTACCAGCTAAATATGATCCTATCATAAAGACGAATAAAGACACTTATGAATTGGACTAGTAAAAAACTGTTTTTTTTTTAACTATAGTTAAATTTGAAAAAAAAAATAGTATGGTTAGTTGTTAGTGGATATATTAAAATAATATTTAAATTAAAATATTAAAGTTGATTAGATGTAAAAGTATGAGAAAATGATTAGAAGTGATGGTTAGTTAAAATTATGTGAGTGGATGAATAGTGAATTAAAGTTGATGTGATATGTAATACGGGTAAATTGTATCAAATCCCCCTGTGTTTTGCTAAATATGCGTCTTTCCCCACTGTGTTTTAAAAAATGCACTATACCCCTTTATATTTAAGTAATTGGTGCACACGCTCTCTGTTTTTTGTTCCCCCGTTAACGGCGTTAATTTTTCCGTGAAATCCATGTTATACCCTCTGAATATTATTCTGATAAATTGAATTTATCACGATATATTGAATATATCGCGAGAAATTGCAAGAAATTGAATAAAAAAATTGCTGCCTCCAAGATTCGAATTAAGGATCTCATGTGAGCATGAAAGCAATGTCACCACTACACCACTCAAGTTTGAGTGTTAAATTTAGGAATGTTTAATATATATGAACATTACAGTAGATAAATGAAATTAAATTTGAAAGATAATGTAAATTATATTAAATTTAATTATTAAATAAACTTATGATAGATTAAAATATAATAAACTAAATTAGATAAAATTAAATGAAAAAAATTAAATAAATTATAATAAAGAAAAATAATAATAAAAATAAATTATACATAAATAAAAAAATTACAGTTAAAATAATAGAATTTATTATATTTATTTTAAATCATTTCATATACTTTATATTTTATTATTTTAATTTATGTTATTCCATATTATTTTGTTTCATTATTCATTTTATTTTATCTTAGTTAACGAACTTTATTTATTTTGTATAACTTCAAACAGTCAAATATAACTAAAATAAATTTAAATAAATAAAATATAGATTAAAATTTTTTATTTATAATTAAAATCATTTACTAAAATTTATAATTTATTTTAATTTTTTTCTTTCATATTCTGTAAGAGTAAACATTATTAAAATAATTTGATAAATTATAATTTTTTTATTAACCGGGCTTATTGATATTGATTCGATGATCCCTATAGGACGCGGTCAGTTAGAGTTAATTATTGGAGATAGGCAGACCGGTAAAATAGCCATAGCCACAGATACGATTCTCAATCAGCAAGGGCAAAATGTAATATGTGATTATGTAGCTATTGGGCAAAAAGCATCTTCTGTCGCGCAGGTAGTAACTAATTTACAGGAAAAAGGGGCCATGGAATACACTATTGTGGTAGCCAAAACGGCATCTTATAATTTATTTTATTTTATTAAATTTAGGATTTTTATTTATTTTTATTTATTTATTCACAAAAGTTATTTTATTTATTATTTTAATCTAATTATTTTTATACTTTATTATCTTATATTAATATTAATATTATTTTATTTTAATTAGTTTATTTTAATTTACTTATTTTTATTTTCAATTTAATTATTATTATTATTATTTTTCATTTCAAAATGTATATAATTAATTTATTTTAACAATTAAAAAATATAATTTTACTAGTTTTTTTATTCACGCTACTATAATAAATTTTATCTTACTTTATTATTTTATGTTAATTTAATATACTTTTATTATTATTATTTAATTAATATTAAATTTACCTATTGTTTTATTTAAATCATTTTCGTATGATA